TCATGCATTCACAGTATTAAATACAAATAATCTCACTCATTCATTCACTCATTGTAATTCTCTTTCCCTTCGACTTTTATTTCACAATTAGGCCAGACTTTTATTATCCGTTGTTTCGCAAACCTGCCAAATGAACAGGAGCAGAGAATAAAATTGAAATCAAATTTTATTTCAGCATAATTTCTCGCACCCGCCGACTTGTAAGCGCAAAAAATTGCTAAAAAAATATTATTTTAATCTTCATTTTTTTTACTGCCTGCCGCCTAACAAATCCAAGTTTAAAGTACCGAAGTCTCGCGCAGATGAGAAACAAGGTTAAACATGGAATAAAATTTTATTTCATTTCTTCTTTCCGATCAATGATCTCACTTACAATTCTTTGAGAATCACACAAATGTAATCGAAAAAAAGAAGTCTGGTCTTATAAACAACTCTTCTTGAATTGGTAACCACCAACAGTAAATACTAAAAACCTACCGGTACCATAACTACCAAAAGATGAGGATTATGACACAAAAAAAAAATATTCATGCCTCTTGTCATTACGCACATATCACCACAAAATATGTTTTTATTTAGAGTTAAAAAAAAAAAAAATGCAAAAAAATCCAATTTTCATAAAAAATCTAAACTGAACCACAATTTTGTAAAACACATTTGACCCGATTTATTCTTATTCTTGGTAAATCATCCTTTGGTGATTTACATGAAGGAAGTAAAGTCAATTAAGGCCACACTAAAATGACCCACTTCTCATTTTAGAATCATATGCGCATAACCTCTCAAGTACATCAGTAACTATGGCGATGCAATTATGATGATTAAGACGGATACATGTATCAATGACGTCATATTAATAAATATGAAGATAGAATTTTACGATTGTTTTCAGGATTTCATGCCAGCTGGGCTGGTCGAATAAAGGTTAATAAATGTAGCAAAGAAGCTCAATTATTTTAAATCCTTGTAATAAATGTACTGATCCAAAATGACCTCTGTAGTGCCAAATGAAAACACATGAGTTGAAATATTAGGATGTTATGCCAAGCATATGTATATACAGTTGATAAAATTAATCAGCCAAAAATTTATTTTTCTATCTATTTGCATGCTATTATCATAAATATATGCCAAGTCACATGACATATCACCATGCATTTACTTATTCGGTGCCACAAATGTAATTACAAAATATGAACAAATTGGTGAAAAATGCTCATGCCCCGTAAAACAACAAGGGAAAAACAGAGTATAGTTCTTAGTTTATTTATTTGATACATCATGCTGATTTACAACAGATTTGTTTTGAATTCAAAGCATGTATCAGTAAGATTTCTATAATGTCCCCTCAACTTTGACCCAAAACATGGTACTAAATTTGAGTTAGTCAAAGAGAGACCTTAAGACGGAATAGACTATTACAGTGAGTTCTCTAGGATTTGTCGTATTAAACAGACTTTTAACCGAGACAAATTGTTTAAAGTAGATTCCGTGTTACGAGTATTAAATACTGAACATGGCGATTAACGTCACACAAAGTTGGGTACTGTGTTTACGGTCAACAATGACAGTTGTGGAATTTCAGTCTTCAGTCTTTAGCCAAATTGCATTAAATAAACATTCAAGTCACCACATAATACGTGTAGCTAAAGAAAAAAAAAAGCTGTGATATGAAAGAAACTCCCTGCGGTTCCCTCCATTCATCTATCACACATTTAGCATTCAGACGACAGTCTGGCACGCATACAAAAATCAATCTGAAGTTTAGGCCATCAAATTATTTCCGTGAGAATGCAAATCAGAATCCGTGAATGATGCTAGAAGTGGCATCATATCGCATTGAAAAGAAATGCTTACATGTATATTTCAAATCTGATTTCGAAATTTACACTATAGCGTATCTTATATTTCCTCGTTCTATAATCATGTAAAGAATTTGTATTTCGGTACCCGAACAAACGTTTATAATTGAGAAATTTTCAGTAAAACAACCAGTATTGTAGCTCTAAATTTCTATGACAGCACGACATACATGTATATATTAACACATACACGATACGAGAATTCAGTTTGTCCCAGAAAAGATTAATTATTCTTGTACTGTGAGTTGACACACTAGACATATCGAATAAGTCTATTTGACTGACTGATGCATCCATTATGTATCAGAACAAACTAACGTAGTTAGATCAGTTTACTGATCTGTAATGGCAGATTGAAGTGATTGTTCACTGCTCGCAGTCACGTCCTACTTTTGCCATGAACTTAAGGTTGTTCATGGGCATTCAGTCTAATAAATACTGATGGATATTTATTATAAATTTTACATAATTGTTAAATTAGACACAAGTTATCAACCTTTCAGATTTTTACCAAATTCAAAATATTGTTTGGGAGAAAAAAAATGCAAAGACAGGCATTTTTTGGAACAACTATATGTACACATATAAAACCAAATATGATTTTTTTTTCACAACTTGTAACAGAAGAAAGTTTTGAAATACGATGAGACCCTTTTACTATGGCAACCAATGGTAAAATGAATAAAAAATATTGGGGGGTTACACAGATTTTGCTGAGTTTTTCTCCAGACAGCAACAAAAGTTCACTTACACACTAAATGATTGAAAACCATTTTTTGTATCCACACCAATTAAAAGCTTTATAAAGTGAAATGCATTGATTTAAAATATAATAATAATTTATATCTTTAAAAAGTTGTATATTATTATTGACATGAATTTTAATATTGTTCAATTTTTTTCTACAAGAAACATTTAATTTAATATAAAGTGCCAATTTTATAACAATGAGAAGTTCTCTCCCACAATGCATTGCAGTAGTGAAATGCATCAATTTTTTTTTGTTAAACATTTTATGTACATATTCAGTATTAAGTGACTTCCCAGTTTTAAAATGCATCATTAACCATTTCACCACCAGACTTTCTCACCCAAATTTTCTTGCACTTTTTTTTTAAATTCGTGAATATTTCTGGAAATTAACCATAATTTTGGAGCCAACAGACAGTTTTCAGTTTTTACTCAAAAAAATTGGCTATTTTTGTCTCAATCTTTTGGATGAAAGTGCAAACTATAAACTATTTTCTGATAAAAACAGGGAACTGTTGGTGAAACTGTTAATACCTTCAATGTAGCATGTTTTTATGTAAAACAAATGTTTTTGGTTCACATTTTAAGGCGACTATTAAGCTATAAATGGTGCATGCACATTATGTGGTTTGTTTGAAATTTATTTCACTACAGGAAAAAATCAATCAATACATGAATTTATGAAGTATGCTTTAAAAGATATTGATTGGCCCATTAACAGCGATTCATACGGTATAGCAGACCAAGAAATACATTCAAGGGGCCATCTACAAAGTTTACACAAACATTATGCCAGGTATCGTGTTCACAGCTCTTTTTGTGTTCAAAAACGAAAAAAAAAAAAAAAAGCTTAATTGATAGAAAAGCTGTCACACAACAATCCAGAAAAGAAGATAACAAAATGGCAAACAGTCGGCCATATTTTATAGCCTGAAAATGCAAATTACTAACATGCCTGTATATATGCTATGTAGGCCAATAGTTTCTAGGAAACAGAGATTAATAGGAATGACTTGGGGTGGGGTGGCACCGGGGTGGGGTTGTAATAGTGAATAAGGATGCTATAAATAATGATTCTATAAAATATGATGAATCTCACTACGTTATTTTTGGCAGAAAAAAAGAAACAGATATGCATGTAGCGCCACCTGCAGTAGACAGATTTAACCAATGTTCAACACTGACAGCATTTTTTCTATTCTTTTCTGTACAGTATCATTTACATTGTTTGTCACCACAAAATATTCAATGAAGGAAAAAATCAATATTTATTTATCGTCAGTTTCTATCAGCACAATTGAAAGTGACAGCCACACATGGGATAATTTTACAACATTATGAAAACTCAACATGCTTCTTTTGGTTTATTTTTTTTCAGCGATATATCATTACCGACACAGCTACATTTATGTTTTCTAGTTGTGTGTGTGAAATCATAATGATGTAACTATGAAGACCCCCTAGCCAACAAAACACGTCATAGAGACCAGGATGTAACTATGAGGACTCCCTAAGCCAATAAAGCATATCAAAGACGCAAGGATGTTACTATGACCCCCTAAGCCCACACAGCATATCAATATGGAATAATGACCCTCTAAGCCCACACAGCATATCAATATGGAATAATGACCCTCTAAGCCCACAAAGCATGTCAATATGGAATAAGGGTCCCCAAAGATGTTTTATTTCCAGTGAATTAAATCTGACATATAATCAGTAAATTTACATAATCCTAACAAGATTGGCATCTGATTATAATGTGATTAAATCATGCAACGACTTTGTTACTTGGTAAATAAATGAGTAGAAATACATAATGCTTTCCCATACGATTTGGAGGACACACTATTTCAAAACTACAATCAAGTGTTTCTTTTATCAAAGTTAAAGTTTATGCATACACAAACAAACTGTAATATAAAGACCACAAAAAGAGAAACAGTTTGTAGTCAATTCTGTTTTCCAAAATCTAA